AAATATTAAATATAGCCATGTCTTTCACGCCTTCCTGTACTGTTTACTATATTAAAGCTTATACTAATATCCTTACAACAATGTTCAATTTATTTCGGATTATTATTTTTTTATTTGTTAATTTTATTGAAAAAATTCTGACAATTTGAAGTTTCAAATAGATGCTATTTCTTAAAGTGTACTTGGATTATATGATACAATATTTTTTTATTTTTCTTTTTGTGGTGCTTACACAAATAAATCAGAAGGTTTTCTGATGCGTGAGCAGGCCACACACAGTTATCCATGTGAGAACCATGAATTTTCAAAATTCAGTATTGTACTTGTAATTTGTTAAAGATCATTGCAAAAGCGAGTCGCACTGGAAACTGCAAAAGTTTGAATTCCAATAGCTTATCTGTTGGAATCATTGGGATGCGTGGAAATAGTACATGTTCACCTATAAATTTTCCATTATGACTTCGATTATGTCGTTATACAGTTAAATAATTTACATAATTCTTAATCGGCAATTATTAAAATAAACATATTAAACAAATCAAATATTTCCTAGGTAATCAAAAATTGAAAAATGTATGCGTCCAGTCCAAAACTTTTTCGACTCTTAAATATGCGATTTTCAAAAAAATCCTCTCTTATTACACAGTGAAAGACTTTTCCAAATTTCAGGTGCGTACGTTGAATAGTTTTTGAGATTCAGCGATCAGTGAGTGATTGGTATTTGGATTTTATATGTATAGATTACGAGTTTGAATGGAATTATTTGAGTTTCTAAGGTTTGAAAAACTTTTTAACAAAGACATTTTTTTTTCTTATAGATTTTTCATAGTTTGTTGATATTGATTTGATTATATGCGATGATTTTTTTTTTTTTGTCGCCCAGCGAATATTCCTTAAAATAACCATGGGTCCTTTGAACTTTTCACTCATAACGGAGTGTAAATCGGCATACGTGCATACTTCATGGACGAGTGCATTGGACTGAATCATATAGTAAATTTCATAAATTATAATTTTAAAAAATGACGGATAATTGTGTTCGTGATGAATAAATATGGTGTGTCATCTAAGCAATTTTAGAAATTAAAAGTATTTTTGAAAGAGTATAGAATATTATTTAGCGATGCCTATATAAGCAGTTACAATTCTGAAAAATTATTCCTGTCTTGAGTTTTATGATTTTTCGCAAACGCAATTAGTTCATCACAAATATACAACATAGTAAATTATAAAGCAAATTATGAGTAACCAATGTAACCTAATAAAATAAGAATGTTTTGACCAATTATTTTCAAACTCAAAGTAAAAAAAAAAATGCATACAAATGTTTTATTAACCTTTTAAAGTTATTAAAATTATTTAAAAAAAATATAAAGATCTCTTTTTTTTGAGTTAACCTCAAATTGATTGACCTATTTTTTTTTTTTTTTAAATATAAATACTCACCCTAATTTAGCTGAATAAGGTATTCAGCCTACGAAAAAAATATCATAACATGCGTCGAAAATAAACAATCACGAGAGTAAATAGAATCTATCAGTTTTAATTTTAACAATTGAGAAAGTATTATATTGTTGAAAGTTCATGAAAGGTAGGTGTATCTTTTATAATAATATTTTCTTATATGGACGAGTCCAAAATCTCTAATAATATAAATATTCATCCACAAGACCCAATTTTTATAAGCTTTCAATGGAAAGAATCTAAAGGAACTCTCGCGATACTACAAACTAAACAAGACCCAAACCGAAAATAGAAGTTTGTGACCTCAACAGCTGCAAAACTATTTTTCTCAAATGACGCCGACAACAACTAATTTATTGCAAACTATTTTAAATCGAATCATATATTTACCGTCAAATACAAGTACTAATCATATTAGAGTTAGGTTAGGATTATTATCACCACTAGATCATATTTTTAATACCAATATATATGTAGGTAAACTAAAATAGTTTGGGTGCTTGTAAATTGCGCCTGGGATTTTTCGGGGTCTAAAATGGGTATAATAAATTCCGCGCATAGTATCTACTATCTAAGTGACTTCGTATTTATAATTTTATGGATAAAATATTAAAGTTACAATCTGAAATTTTTATAATAATTAATAGTATAAATAAACCTTATAGGTTTATACATTTCATTTGTTTCTACATTTCAAAACACCAAATCAAAAAAAAAAAAAAATTCAAAAAATGGAAAAAATAATTCAACAATAAAATGAAAATACTATTACGAGGGCTGAATATATGAATATGATGACTAATTACTATGCAGATAACTTATAACTGTATTTTTTATTATTAACACTTTTAATCTAACAAAAAAATATTTAAAATCTATAATTAATACCATAATATTTAAAAATAAAATTAATTTTCCTATTTTTATGAATTAATTTATTCATTTCAAGTACCTAAACCAAAAAAAAAATATTTTTGGAGAACAGTGATAGTCGCCTCCTCGTAGTGTCCTCTGGGTAATGCTATATGACTATCATAAAAATAATATTTCTATTGGGCACAATTTACTATACGAAATTTTGTACCTGTAAAATAACGGGCGCAATTTACTACACAAAAATGTATAGCTGAAAAATACCGGGCGCAATTTACGTTCTCCCAATATTATAATATGTGTAGTAAATGAAATAATTTTTTTAACATTTAAAATATAATTAAGTTAAAAAAAAAATCTTAATATTGATCGGTAGGGCTATTATTGTTGAATAATTTTCATTACGAATTTTTTTTCTCTTCTTTATTTCATCAACAACCGCTAGCCTTAATATAACAAAATAATATTTACTTTTGATTAGTTTTTATTATTATTTTATTATGCTGTTATTTCTTTACCCGACTCGATATGTTAATAGGATATATATTATATATACATACCTATACCTATTGGATTTATTAGCGTTATCGTGGAATTTAAACACTTTAATCGCTACATGACGTAATTCCTACAGAGTAATTTTTTTATTTTATTTATTTGAAGTATGGGATGGTGCCCAATGGTTCATTTACAATAAGGCAAGATATAATATATAATTACATGTAATATAGACAAAAATATAATTCATAATCATACTAAATTTAATATAAAAAATAAGACGGTTCAACATTGGCAATCCGCATCATTATAGTAAGAGGTTCATTTGCAGCGTAACTCGCGTTACTTATTGGTGTTACGGACATACATAAATGTAGGTCCTTACGACTTTTACTACACAGGAGGGATTACATAAATCGTAATAGTAGAGATCGGGAAATGTAATATAATATTCACAACAATAGAAAGGAACTATTAATTTAATTAAAGGGTAACACAAGCACATATTATATATGAATCGTATGGCTACATTCCAAAGTGTGATATTAAAAATAACTATTATAGAAAGACATCAGTATTATATATTACGGAGATGTAGGTCCTTACTAATTATATTGTAGAGAAGACAATTAGTATATAATAAATTAAAACCAACTATTATAGAAAGGCACCAGTATGGTATATGCAAAATGCGGGATTCACGAGGACAACTGATTACATATAGGTAATCTAGGGTTGGGCGCCCGAAACACAAGTAACATCAATCTAAATGCCAAAGTGAATCGCATAGGACGAGTGGTTTAGCATTCACTAGGTCCGGGTCAACTTTGAGAAACGGGGTATATAAGGGAATCCCGAATAGACCAATATCAGATGTGTTTAAGACGTGTTTTAGCGAGCACCTTCACACCAGTATATTTGTTAATTTAATTAAATAACGTATACTTGGAAATATTTCAATAAACAGTTTAATTTAGTTTGAGTATTTTTATTGGAATTATCCTATCAAATCTTCATCTTAGCGGTTGAACTGCCCGCACGCAACATTGGAATATAGAACGGGTAATTATTACGAGAGAAGAAGGATGGAATTTTTAAATTGATGTGACTAAGAAGATTCGGAGAATCTATTTTACCTGAAAGTAGTTTATTAAGAAAATCTATATTTGCTTGTACTCTTCTGTCTACAAGTGTGGAAATATGTAAATTAGCAAGGAGAGGAGAATAGTCGTGTAACTGGTGATCGATTTTTAATAAGTGACTAGCAAAAGACAAAAATCTTCGCTAAGGACGCATATATCCCATAATACAGAATTATATTCCAAGACGGAGCGCACTAAGGTATAGTACAAAGCCTTAATAGGTGCAACTAACTTGTACTGAGCACAAATACGTTTAACAAAATCTAAAATTTTCAATGTCTTACAAGATAAAAATTCGATATATGAATAAAATGTTAATTTTGTATCAAAAATTACACCTAAATCTCTTATTGTTTGCTTTGCACGTTCAAGTTTAGATCCAACAATTTTATAATCAAAGACAATCGGACAGTGAAATCTATAAAATGTTTTATAATGACACTTTTGAATATTTAGTGACATTCCCGTGATAGAAGCCCATAGAACAATTTCATTAAGATCATCATTCAAATGTTTACAATCAATTATAGAGTTAACTTTTACAAAAAATTTCAAGTTATCACCGAATAATAGAAATTTACTTGTTTTTATTACATTTTTTTACGTAGTAAATAAATAATGCAAATAGCATGGGTGATAGGTGCCCGCCTTGAAGAACGCCAAAAGGAACATCAGCAACATTAGATCGTACTCCGTGAACTTTTCAGTGAATTTTGATTGATTAGTATACAATTGATGGGCATGAATTGTTTTGGTAAAATGTTAATGTACTATAGACATAAACAGTTAAACGTGAATAAAAAAAATGAAAATACGAAAATAGTTTTCGTATTATTTGAACTGTATTGAATGGAAGTAACTAAGGTGTAATCGTTTTACATTATTTACGGTTTAAATTAAACGCAAAGAAAAATTAAAAACCTCTAACTTTTTGTTTTCGATGTATTTAACAATTTTTCCACTTGTCTACTGCTAGGTTGCAATTTCTATAGTAAATATTTCGACTTATTTGCTCTTTTGCAGGGTTCGTAACCAACACCAGAATAACTGACGCCACGCCTGCAGCCCTGTATGCCCGAACATCAAACCGGAAATGGGAATGCAACGCCGCCATGCCAGAAAATGTTAAAGACTGCAAGGATATCGCCAGACAGCTGATTGAGGAAGAGCCTGGTCGAAATTTTAAGGTGCATTTCAGTCTAATATAATGTACGCATGTTAACATTTATTTTTGCGAGACGTAAAAAATATATATATTTTTTCGAAGACATCCCATACATCGTACGTCAACGCGTTCTAAGCATGGGCAAGTCCTGAAAGGATTTGTTGCAAGTATAAAACCCTCCACCAGCCGACATCCAATTGTAAATTATGTCTTACGAACAGTTTTTTGTGTAGGTGTACGACTATACCATTGTTCTCCCGAAATACTAATAAACATGAAATTTTAAAAATAAATAATTGGTTGATTATAAGGCAAAACTAGAGTTCCTTCCAAAAGAAATCCCGAATAAATATGTTCGGTATAAAGAGACGAAATCGTTAATAATATTATCACGTGTAATAAACATACCAACTAGTGCTGAGAGTAAATTTGAGAATAAAATATTTGATTTTCCACGTAGGTAATCTGAACTTTTTAACTGCTTTCGCTTTATCTCTCTCTATGTATATATATATATATAAGTGCAGGGCAAGAGGGCATAGGCCGGGGGTGCAATTCTAAGCGGGTTGCAAATGTCAACACTACTTATGTAATATTTTTCACGAAATACGAAAAATATGTAGTTAAAACAATTTCATTTGATAATGTCATTGATAAATTTGTATCTATAAAAGCAAGAAAATTACCATTGTAATATTGTACTAAATAAGTTTAAAATTATCTAACACAATTGTAAAAAAGAAAAACATTTAAGAAAATTGCATGTTTTTATAATATATTGATTGTTTATATTTTAAATTAATACAACTACCTATTAAAGTTTATTGGTAATTATTATCTTGTATAATTTGTTTTTATACATGCTTTACATATCTCAAATGATTTTTTGTAAAAAAAAAATATAAATTTCCTATTGGGAGGGTGGGGCGCAAGTTCTAAACAGGTAAAATATGTATAACTGGATTAAAATGTAACGTAGGTATCTTTGAAATGTTGTAGATTTTTAAAAATTGTATAAAACAATCAAATTAGGTATCTGAATTTTAGTTCATATTCTTAAAACAAATAATTTTTAGCCGTTGCACTACAAAAAAAAAAAAAAAATTATATTTGCATTGCCTATTGACAGAACCCATAAATGTGATTTAATTTTTCAATGTTTGAATATGTTATGAACATTTATTTTTCTAAATCCTGTAAAAACTTCATACAAAAATCTTATTTTACAATTATGAAATTATAAATATTTAAGTATAAAAAAAAAAAAACCACTTTTCAGAATCAAAATTTATTCAAAAACATCGATTCACTATAATTATACTCGTATGTCGACTGTCGTCAGTTTATATGTTGCAACAGACAATAGCAGCACAGACTATACTGTATTAGGACTCAATGTACTCGTAGGTCTACGGAAATACAAAATAACAATACGGCATAATACGAATAAATAATTCAAGAAAATGTTTAAATATTATAAATAAAATACAAAATATTCACCGGTTTCACGCTATATCATGTAAAGTTGTCTTTTTAACAGGTGATTATGGGCGGTGGCAAGAAGTCTTTCAACGCAAATAATTCGTCGGTTACCTCTAAACACTTTCTGGACAAACACTTGTGTGTGAGAACCGACGGTAAGGATCTAATAAAAGAATGGATCGAAGACAAAACGTCAAAGAATTTGTCATATCAATACTTGACCAACGAAAAAGATATGAAATCATTGGACACGGAAAACACAGAATATATTTTAGGTGAGTGGCTACCGATAATTGTCCTCTATGTTTTGTTTATTTTGCATGAGTGCATAAATCAATTACTAAAACAAACATTAATTATTGTACTTACTTACGTTTGAATACAAATACCAAATTAAACAAGCACAAGGTAATAAGAATTATAGACGCAACTGATGCCTGAAATTACACTTTTCTCGTTTGTATACTGTAGACTTTTTACCACGAATACGAATATGTCAGAACTGAAGTTAATCTAATAAACTGATAATATTTTTCTACGATTTTTTTTTTTTATATTATTATAGAAAATGTATACTTGAGTGCATTATTACTAAAAGTAAGAATATTTTAAAATTATTTATTTGGAAAGTTCAAGATAAGATTTTTAGTTCTTGCAATATTTAAACACAAAGGTTGTATGTATATAGGAGGGTAATTTTTGTTCATCAAGTGGCTGTGAGTAATGTTGTTGTGACCTAATCGAGTTTAGTAAGGCTATTCGAATTTTTTGAGTAATTCTACTGGAAATAGATTTACATTTAATTTATTTTCGTGTAATCTTTTTAAATAAAGATATCCAACATTCTTGCCTTTTCCGGTAGCATATGACAATAAAAGCTATTCATTTCATTGATCCAAACTGTTTTAACTGAAGGATTTCGTAGATCTATGATTTTTTTTTTAATGTTCAATAATAAATGTATATATAATATGTAATATTATAGTATATAGTATAATATGTAATAATAAATTTTAAATGTTCAACTAAAGAAATTTAATATTAGCAATATCACATAGTTTGGTTATTAAAACCCATCGTGTATAATTAAAGATGATCTGTTTTATTGAAATAATAAATAGTTGAATAAGCAATATTAATTTTTGCCAATATTTTAATGCACTATAAAACAAAATTGATAAAATTGAATAGAATAAGTTATAACCAATATTGGTTGAAAAAAATTTAAATAACGTATTGCCACAGAAATAAGCTTTTATAACAGATGTGATCATATGTAGGAATTTTTTCAAATGGAAAAATGCCAATGGAATATCATAGAACTTCACACATGTTAGATACACCGTCATTAGAATTTATGACTGAAACAGCATTAAAAGTGTTGTCAAAAAATGAAAAAGGATTTTTCTTAATGGTATGTATTGCGGCTAAAATAAAAAGAATATTTATCAAATTAACCGATTATAAAATATCAGAAGTTTCACTTAAAACACATGAAATATTTTACCTATATATTACATTAAAAATTATATTTTTAGTTCCTGCTATATTTACATTTATCTTTTAAATATATAAATTCTAATGTTTTGAAAGTTTAAAATTTGAATCACGTGAAATATTGATAAAAATGGTTGTTGGAAACCATTTTTATCAATATTATATTTTTTCCTACAGGATCTATAAAATAAAATTCCATACTCTTAATACAAATGAACCCAAATAGAGTTCATTATTTAAATTCATATTTACAATTTACTCAATGTAATTCTATGATAAATTGTAGGTAGAAGGAGGTTTAATTGATTTAGCACATCATGAAAGCAAGGCCAGATTAGCTTTAGATGAAACTGTGGAATTTGATAAGGCATTGAATACTTCAATACAGTTACTGAAACAATGGAACATGTTGGATGATACATTACTGATTGTGACCAGTGACCATGCTAACTCTTTATCTATCAATGGATATCCAAAGCGAGGCAACAATATTCTTGATGTGGCCGGCAAATCACAAGTAGACGATGTTAAATACACAACATTAACATATTCAATTGGATTTGCTCCAGATCCTATTTACAGACAGTTTGGTACTTATGTCATCAGACAAGATCCAACAATTTTAAAAACAACAAGTCATGAATATACACAACAAGTTGGCATTCAGGAAGGAACTGGTGTACATAGTGGAAGTGACGTGGCAGTATATGCTAAAGGTAAATGTTTTAATAGAAAATGATAAAATTACTTATTAAAAATCCATTTTTAGGACCAATGGGACACTTGTTTCATTCCATTCATGAACAAAACTATATTGCACACGTAATAGCATATGCAACAAAAATTGGTCCTTATCAAAACGGATTGAACAACAATTCAACTGGAATTATGACTTCAAACATTTACCTAATATGCATATTAATTTCATTTTTTTTTATTTTTAATTTAAAATAATTATAATGTTAAGTATTTAATAATAATTTTATTGTCTTCTAAAATTCTTTGTTAATTTTTTTTATTGAGGTATATAATTATTTTTTATTTAGGATTTTACACAAACATAAATACAATTTCTATAAGAAAAAGTAAAATTGGATCTTACTATTTTAAAATTTCACACAGTAAACAAAATAATGATGGTAAACAGAAAATTGTAGTTTAATCCTAACACAAATAATGTGTAGTTACATAATGCAACTAATAGTAGCGACTCAAACATTAATTCAATCCTTAGATTGCATGTACTTGATCAAATCCACAACACGGTTGGAGTAACCATATTCATTGTCATACCTAACAAAAATAGTTATTAATACATAATCAAATTTATTCAATATAAATATTTACCATGAGATAAGTTTGACGAATTGGTCGTTCAATGGAATTCCAGCCTTAGCATCAAAGATTGAAGAATGGGTGTCACCAATGAAGTCAGAAGAAACAACTTCATCTTCAGTGTAGCCCAAAATTCCTTTCAATGGGCCAGCAGCAGCTTCCTTAACTTTGTCCTTGATGGCTTGGTAGGTTGCTGGTTTTGCAAGTCTAAAATTAAAATCTTGGTTAAAAATTAAGCTACAAATAAATTGTGTGCATTCATAAATTAAATGATGTTCACTTTTTAAATAACTATATGCAAATAAGTAATAAGATGTAAGATCAACTATTATATTAATTGTTAATAATTAAAAAGTTACATATAAAAAAGTACTAATATAAAATATATTATTTAGATAAATTATAGGAAATCCTTCAATATACTATTATTGATATTTAACAAATATAATTATACATAGAATATGAAATAAACATCAATAGGTTATTGCTTTAAGTAATGTTATAAACTAGAGTCCATATTTCAATACAAAACTCCTTTTTTTCAAACGATCTTAAACAATGCTTTTCAAGTACATAATTAGTTTCATAAAACAGAATGAACATTTTAATTTAGGATTTTTTGTTTATATTTTTCAATGTTTTTTCAGCAATTTTATCCTTTCAACATACATTTTTACAATATATAGTATTTTTATATATTACAAATTCAAATATAAAGAAATTTTTTTAAAAGAATCTTCAAGAATTTTTAAGTTTAAATTTAAGAGCTTAACTATTCCTTTACCATCTCAAATAATAATAGAAGCTGCAGTATACTAATAAGAATATTTTCAATTTATTAGAAAAGTAATTGATGGATTTGAAGAAAACAATGGTACCAAAAGAGCAGATTTAATGGCAGAAATTGAATCAAATTTAATATTCATAAAAGTCAACCGTAGAAATATATCAATTAAGTTATAAACACAGCTTGAAACATCAATTACCTTTAGTAAACCCACCACGAGGTTGCATCATTGTATATAACTCATGTATATGATGTACATCATTGTATGTAACTCATCGCACAAGGTCTATTTGAACGTTCACTTATATTTCATATTTTTTTTTTAAATTTTACAATAAAAATTGGTATTACTGGAACTATTATAGATTAAAGTGAAAATTAATTAAAATAATTTGATTGAAAGAATATGTTTGAATACAATAAAGTTTTAATATTATTCTGATAAAACTAAATGAAAATATTGCAACCTTCAAAGAGATAAGAGGTAAGTGACTGGATATATTGTTTTTGATGGTTTTTCCATTTAAAATTGGATGCCAACGAAAATATTACCAAACAAAATTGATACTGAGTATAGTCGCACACAGTTTTTTTGAATGGTTAAGACTTTAAAAATAGCTATAAATTTGACAAACAATAATTGTCTGTTCTAGTTTTTAAAAATAGGTCATTGTGTACATTAAAGGTAAAAAAATGCACGAATTGAAGTAAATTACACACAATGACTTATTGTAAAATAATAAACTCGCGGTCTTTTACAATGTGATGCGATTCATGGCAGGTTAAGGTAATTGGTATTGTAAATAATGCTCAACTTATGTTTAAGCTAATATAAGTAATTATGGAAAAGCAAAAATAGTCTTTAAAAAGAATTATGGTTATACTGTAATGGAAACAATTTCAAATATTTTAAAATACAAGGAAACCTCTTCAACATAATAGGAGAATTAACACTAGACAATATTAGTCACTTCAAAAATGCTTGTTTTTCTATTTATAAAAATGAATTCTAAAAAACAATAGAAAATTGTTGGTATTTGAAAATATTAAAAAATATTTTATAGTTCAATGCAATGTTCAAGATTGTTAAAGGTAAAATAGTTTGACGTAGAATTTAACATAATCTTAAAGGTAAACTTTGTTATGTTTAAAATGAATAACACAACTTATAATCAATCATTTAAATACAGCTCCTCAGTCAGTACCATCGTTTTCCGTTTCAAGAAAAAATTTTAAATGTTCAGTTTTTTTTTTTTTTTTAAATAAAATAAAAATTATAAATTACTTAATAATTTATTGCTCTAATAAAAGAAACGTCTTAAAACCTACCTGACAGTCAAGTCTACAACAGAAACATTAGCAACTGGTACTCGGAAAGCCATTCCAGTTAATTTTCCATTAAGTTCAGGAATAACTTTACCAACAGCCTTGGCAGCTCCAGTAGCAGCAGGAATGATATTTTGGGCAGCACCTCTACCGTCTCTCCATAACTGTTAAATAATAAAATATTTAAATAAAATAAATTTGGAACTAATTAACAAAAACAAACCTTTCCAGATGGTCCATCAACAGTTTTTTGGGTGGCAGTAGTTGCATGTACAGTAGTCATGAGACCCTCAACAATTCCAAAGTTGTCATTAATAACCTTAGCTAATGGGGCCAAGCAGTTTGTTGTGCATGAAGCGTTGGATACAACTTTGAAAGATGGATCGTAGGCTTCTAAGTTAACACCAACAACGAACATGGGAGCATCAGCACTGGGAGCAGAAATAATAACTTTCTTAGCTCCACCTTCTAAATGAGCAGAAGCTTTTTCAATGGTGGTGAACACACCAGTAGATTCAACTACATAATCAGCTCCAGCAGATCCCCATTGGATGGCTTTAGGGTCGCGTTCAGAGAACACTTTAATCTTGTTTCCTAATTATAACATAAAATAGATTAAAATAATAGACACAAAACATTTGTGCCTATAATCAAATTAAAACTTATTTTTCTATACCATTAACACATAGGCAATCTCCGGCAACAGTTACTTCGCCCTTGAAACGTCCATGAGTAGAATCATACTTGAATAAGTACACCATGTATTCAATACCAATGAATGGATCATTGATGGCTACTACTTTAGCACCCTTTTCCAATGCAGCTCTCAACACCAATCTGCCGATACGGCCAAATCCATTAATACCGATGTTCGACATGATTAAGAGTAAGGAGTTTTAACTAGAAATCAAACAACATAAATTATTAGTATCATCAAATTTAAAATTATTAAATCAGTAAATTGTGAAAATTAACATTAATTTGATTAAGTAAAAAAATTTAAGTTATAAAATATTAATTGAAAAATGAGACGAATGTACAAGTTATATTATCATATATTTTATACTATTATTACATTTACAAGTTTAAATTCAAAAAATTCCCTATACTGTACACACAATTTATAGTTTAATATAGTATAATATATAATATTCAATACAACTATTTAAAGGTTCAAATTAATTAATATTACTAAATTATTAATAAGTGTCTCATCAAAGCATTTATTTGAATTACATTAAAATGACATTATTACATTGATTATTTATTTTATAAATTAAATTGAACATTTAGATTATTACCATCAAAACACTTGCAATTCATATAGAAAACTTAAATGTATTAAGTATATTTTATGGATGGACCTAAATCTTATTAAAATAGTTTATCCCAAATCTTAATGCATATAAATATTAGTAAAAATACCTAACTTCAACAATATTTATTAATAAAATGCAATAACGATTTAAAGAAGTGTTTTAATGTAAATAAAAAAATTTCAATGTAATAAATAACTATAATTATAAAAAACAAATCAATTTCAATAAGTTAGTTAATAAAATGGAAAAAAAATGTTCAAGATTATACCCTAAATCGTATTGCGAGAAAATTAAGGAAAGTTCAGGCGAAGAAGAAAAGGCGTCTAACGAAGAGAGAATATTCAATGTGAAGGTCGGTCAATGTCAAATGTGAGGCCGGTTGGAGCAATCGAAATGATAGTCGAAAAATAAAAGTATACGAAAAAACAACGAAATTAAAACCTATACGTGACCAAGTTACTCGTTTCGTCATCGTTACAACAGCGATACAAGCAACATGGCGGCGGGTACGGACAAGTGGTATAACTATCGATGCGGACAAAATCGGACACACGGTCGAGTCACAAATAAAACAAGATACATACTGGTGTAACGTATAAAAAAACGATTTCTTATTGAAACCCAATAAAACGGTACGATTGAAGGATGCGAGACAGCAAAACGGCAGTAGAGGAAATGTAAAATTACAAGGAAATAAAAAAGTAGTCTTACCTTTGGAAACGTAGCAAAGAGACGAATGTTTACTCGAGTGGGTGTGCACGTTAAATGATTCTGTCTGCGAACGATCGATCGGTCCACGACTGTGGTCGGCCGGTACTTGTGTCGCGTCGTGGGGATCCGACCTTAGCGCGCATGACGTACACTATGAACCGTGATGAACAGCGGTTGTGGTGACGTCACCACGACCGATACCATGCGCCGTGATACCAATGCACCTACGTCCGTGTCGTCTTGTACGTCCTCTATCGACCGGTGAGACCGGCTCACGTTGGTCGGGGGCGGTAGAGAGCGGAACCAAGAATAACAGCTGTTGGACGGCGGCAAATCGCCATTTTGCCGTTTTCAAACGACAACTAGATCAGAAAGAAACGATCGTCGCGGTCCGTACTCTCCATGCCGCCTTCGACACGGTTTACCCGTAGATAAAGTAATTATATTGTCTATTGACTTATCATTGTATTGATAATCGACACGATCCACAAATTCACTTATTCGGCGTTATTTTTTCTTCCGAAAACGTTTTTCCCATCTAACTAAACTATTGTCGTCGAATCGCTAGTTATGCTTTTCGACCTTGGTGGGTGAATGTCATAAATGTGTAATTTTAAATATTTATATGTCATAATTGTGGTAAATATGATCAATGATAGAATACATAACACAATAATTAACATATAACATTTTATGTTATAATGAATTGATAACTATGTACTCAGATTAACATTGTACCTTGTTCGTATTACTATTGTGTCGGATTTCCGAACTATAGATTTTCTTGTTTGTTATCGTGTTAAATGTTCTGTATTGTTTGTACAAAATATTAGTATGTAATATAATGTACAGCATTTTTAGTTTTTTATAACTTAATACATTAAAAAAAAAATATATATTGGAGTATACTCGAGTGTATTATTATAATTTATTAATTATGCAATAAAATGTACAATATTATGATAACACTTATGGAATACCGCAATATTCGTAACAGTTTAGGTCGCGTTTGATGTGGATCTGTGGAAAAGTATTTTCTTATAGACATGCTTCTTTATTAAAATAAATGTATACTATACGTCCATATCTATGTAGAAAAGTACATGATTGAACATTTATTAATAATTTATAATTGAATAAAGGAAAAAAACAAAAGAGTATTCTGTTCTAGACGAGTTCTCTGGTTATCCAAAATAATCTCTATATAAGTATCACTGAAAAATCGAAAATGCAATAAGTACTCATTTATAATAGAATTATTATAAAAATTAAAGGCAGGTTTCTACATAAGAAAATGATTGTATTTTCAAGTAATGTAATGTTCAAGTATATTTAGAAATTATATTCCTGTTTGAATCTCTTAAAAAAAAAAAAAAATTATCACTGGACTCTACTTGAGTCTTGAATTTTTATTATTTATAAAATATCTAATATATTACAGTAGTTTATTGTAAATTATTTAAGACGTAATCACGTACAATTTAATAAATTTGGAAAAAATTGAAACAGTAGAAATTAATAATTGAGTAATAAAATTATTAAATAATAAGTACCTCCTAAAAGTAAGAATTAATTTGAGTATTTATTGACACAACATTAAATAGATTTAGATTGTATAAATAAATTATTCATCAATTGAAGCAAAATTAGTGTCACTAACTGAATCATTTAATGGATATTTCAAGTTTTTAGAGTGATTAATTTTTTCGTTTGTCCGATTAACTCGTAAAATTAACAAAAATAACAAAGATGCATTATTCAGTACATGTTTGAAGCTTAAGACAACATAAATTTCACATATTTTGAATATAATATGATAATTATTTTTTCAAATTATTTCCTATAAATGAGTATTAAAATAGATTGTCTTCAAATGTGGGATAGAAATTAATATATAATAAAAACTTATTATATTTAAAAGTCTAATGCTGGGTTGCATGAATATTTACAGAACCAATGACGACTTATCAATTCTGTAAAAATAAAACAGTTATTTAAAATTGATAAATAAAAGACTATAAAAAAAAGATAATAAAAGAAATAAAGCATTATTAGCTCGATAAGTTATAGGTTCGATTTCGGATCTGTAATATTTGCAAAACCGTTTAAAATTCTTTATCATTTAATTTAAAATGTATCATAACTTGAAATTTTTGTTATTTATTTAATTTTGAATAATTATTCATATTATTGTTTCAAGACATTTTAAATTCAAATAATTAATTGTGATTACTTTGTCATCCTCGTCTGATGATTCCCATGAAGATAATATTCTTCAAATTGTAATAAATCTTCCAAGACCAAGGCGGTTTAGAGATAGGTCAAATCCGTCAAATAACAATTAACAATTAAATTACCAAGATATGCTTATCTCTTCGAAAAAATAATAATCTTGATAAGAATAATATTTGTGTACTATTTAATACTAGATAATTGGTTATAACTTGATTATTTGATACAATTTATAATACTTTCATGAAATGCATTCTGTTCTTTAACTATTTTACAATCGATATATTATCGGTCCAACAGTTTATTGAACTGTTTTCATGCAACCGGGCATTAAGTTTTCAATCTTCAATTTAACTTCACAAAGAGTGAAAGAAAGTGTTGATTTAAAAACGATTTTCTTTCTTTTTCTATCATCAAACTTTTGACTACCTATTAAATTTACACCAAAATACTTAATTTTGAGACCCGAGAAATCCAACTGATATCATAACATTCGCAGTTTAATAACTCGATTGTATTCTGATCACAATTTTTTTTATATAATTTCGGCAGCGGTCAAGTACATGCATGGTATTATTTGGCGGTCTTACCGATAATATTGTTTTCGGACCGATTTAATTCCGTCTCAAGGTGAAATGAACTTTCGAAAGCATAACTGTATTATAAATACGGGTACGGAAATATTGCGCGGGTTAAGGTCATATGTGTAAAGCTATCATTGACTAATTAAGCCAAGTAGGCAATGCGGATCCATTCGATAACAAATACTAATAAAATCGATCAACACTAGCACAAGTCAAGTAAATTCTTATAAATATATAATGTGTAGTTATACTCGTGGTATAACATAATAAATAAAATAAATAAGCATGAACCAAACATTTACAATGTACTATGTAGATATATAAATCGATACAGGTTGTCTGTAGGTGTTAAGAGTGATCCATCAATATTACGCAATCGAACGAAACAAAAACGTAACAGGAATAACCTTTCATTAAATATAGATACTTACTATTTCTTCATTACATCTGAAAGAAAATCATTTAACATAGATTTACAATATGAGTAAAATCTAAAGTAGTCCGCCATTAGGTGTTTGAGTGTTTATACAGTATGATACGTAATGATTATTTGGTAAAAATCGGTGAAACAAAAATATTATTAATTTTAACAGTTTGAACTACACAAGTGTGTCAGAAAAAAAATGAATGTATAAACACCATTATAAATTACAAATTTTTTTTGCTGTAATGTTTTAACGAAAACAAAAAAAATATATACATTCTATGATAAACAACCAAGTAGTATAATAATATGATATACAAATAATACTGTAATATTAAATTTGATGATCGCTGTTTAATAACTTCCGATATATCTTTATAATTTTTACTAGTTCCTATTTAAGAAAAAAATATATCTCACCGAAATTATCTAAGCTGAAATATACGTTCATAATGTAGAAGGACAACGATTTTATATTATATGTTTAGTCTCTATAAACATATCCAGTACTTCGCAGTAATTTTTTCTTGAAATATGCACTGCATTTTATTAGTGTAATCACAAGTGTTTTTTTTATAAACCAGTTCAATGGTTTAATACCGGCTAGCCGAAATTAATTCATTACTGTATGATTACTGTACTACAATGTTGTTTTTATCCTGGAGTCAATTACCATTATAAGGCTTAGGTGGCAATTATTTTTCAAATAGAGAATTTATTAGAAGATTTATACTTGTATTTATGTATACTCCTATATTAATACAATGGATTTTATTTTTGATATTGCAAATTATACTTGAAAAGTACTGTCAGAAAATTTTAACTTCATTTCAAAAAATAATATATTACCTTTTGTGTCTAATAATTAATATCTATTGATTGCTTATATACCTATGAAACTGTGGCAGGGTAATATGACCAACATGATTAAGATATGAGTTGATGATTAAAAGTTTTTCATCGTATTAAGGGTGTAATGATCAGTGAATTTTAGATTTTACAACTTTAGAGACCAGAGTCTAGCTGTTAGTGATCACAGATCACACACATAAAGGGACGGAGCTAGGGGGTAGGGCAAGTGGGACATTTGTCCAGGGCCTCGCGTTTGACCCCATTAGGGACATTCAAAAGTAAAATCATTGTACAAAAAACGTGAACTAAGGATATCAATAAATTATATTTTATATTAGTATTAAAATTACATTTTAACATATTACGTGTTCTTGCAAAGTAAAAATAATTTTATTAAGGTAGTACATTAAATTTTGTAAATTATTATAAGTTGTATAATGACAATATCAATAATTGTTTTATATATAAAAAAAAAAAAAAATTATATCGTTTTAATTTTGTACAAGTATTTTAGTTAAATTTAATTATGAAAAATATTCATAAAATCTTATACAAATATGGCCATTTATATCATGAAAATTTAAAAAATAGTGATAAAATAATGGTATACTTTGTTCATTTGTTTAGTGTAAGCACTTAATTTTCTCAAAATTAAAAATTACAAAAATTAATTGATTTAACAAACAACTGTTATTTTACAGAAACCAATAAAATATTATTTATTAAATTTAAACAATGCTACTAAAATTATTTATAATAAAAAAGTAAAATTAAAAAAATATATTTGTAATAATTATAATCAAGAATAAACTAATTTTTTTTTTTTTTTGTAAAAGATGTATGTATGTATGTATGTACGTATGTACATTATTAATCTGGTATTATAAAATATAATATAAGTATATTTAATGAATAATGAAAATGCTCATTAGAACTCTAATCAATTTTATTATTTTTTTTTTTTATTTAAACTTTGTTTTAATAATTAGTTGTTTCAACCATTATTTTATGTTGTTGGGGAGTTATTATATTTATCATTAATTATTATTTCAAAGATCAGTGAACTCACATTATTAGAAAGTTAATATTATTATCAATTATTTTTTACACATCAAAAGTTTGATACCTATGATTTTAATATATTTGTCGATGGCAGGAAAAATAAGAGATAACTTATGTGAGAAAATATACATTTTATAGCAGTCTTACATAATACTTTATTACGTGTAACAAATTTTTATTTCTCCACTTTGTACTAGTATAATTTTTTAAGTTTATGATTTTAACCATACTCATTATTTCATAAAAAAACCAAATATATTTACAATATAAGATTAGATATTTTAATAGTTTTAATATGAACATTCAACTCCAAGTAGTAAAAAGTAGTTTTTTTTTTTAAATATAGAAGTATATATTTATGTGCAAGGATGAAATGGATAGGGATTATTTAAAGAGCAACAATAACAACTGTTTAAAAATAATTCATAGTTATTGTGATCTTACTATGTTATAACATAGGTGAATGTATAATTTTTATATCTGGAGAACTTATCCATAAAAAATTGAACTATACACGCTAAAACACAAATTCAATAATCAAACTATACAAAAAAAAAAAAAAACATATAAATATATATAATAATCAACGTTAACTTTTACTTAATTGGAAAAATTATAACTTGCACAATCATAACTAAAATAAATTAATAAATGACGACAAAATACATCAAATGACAAATATTTATATTTTGCCATTAAATATGTTCACAAGATTAAAAGGCACTTATTTATTGTATTAATATATAGATATATCCTTGATACCTACTTGGGAATAACAATTATTTTAATCATATAAAAACAAAATTTAAATGGTATTGTTAACAGTAAACAAAAGTCGAAATAATATATCAAATAAAATCTAACCCATACTGGTTTTAAATAGTTTTATAATGGTTGTGGATTGAACGGTAAATAATTAACAAGACAAAACTTTATAACTTTTTATGATAAAACTAAATTGTAAAACATGGGTAATATCTAACCGTATAGTTTTAGAGTGAAATTGTTGGAGACAAATAATAATTAATGTTTTTTCAAATTAAAAATTGCTGTCCCAACCAGAATTATCATCGGGTGGTGGGCTGTCTGCATCAGGCGGATAATTATCAAAATTGCTTGTATCAATAGCACTACGCACAACTGGCAAGATAGGAGGTGTAAGGGTCCGAGTACGTAATCCTTCCCAGTTGAAACCATCAAACCACCTATAATACAAAAGGATAATTTAAATCAATTATGTTTATTATTAAAAAAAAATTGTAACTATTAAATAATGTAACTTACTTGTGTTTTTGAACTTCAGTTAATCGCTCAGCTGGGTTATCCCTGAAAAATATCACCAAATTAATTTAAAATATTGGAAACATTAGCACACAATAATTTTACATAATTTCATAAATAGTGTATCATTTTATATGATTAAATTATGTTTAATATAAGTTAGACAACTATCAACTTTTGTTTTCTCCAAAATTAGACAACGAGAACAATTTAAAAAAAAAAATGCAAAATTGCAAATATTTAATTGTTTCAGCAATGAGCAAAACTGTAAAAAACTATTAACAGTGTAAGGTTGTTGAGTAAAGCTATTAGTATTTATAATCAATAAATTGTACAAGATATATTTATTTTAAGATGTAAGGTAAAAAACTTCTCAATCCCACAATCAAATGCATCATTAATGCCTTACATAAGGTGATCTAGGATAGAAAATGTGCCTCTGAGGATAAATAAAAGTCTAATATCTAATAGGGCTGACCTTATTATATATCTGAGTAGATGACTGATTTAATAACAAATAACTGAATAAAATAATTTGCTTTAGACTGACAAAGATTTTATTTTTAAGGTAAGTCAACAATTGATCAATATGAATAATTTAAAAAAAAATAACTATATATATCTATATATATATATATATATATTAAAGTTATGTTATACAATAATTACATCATTCAGTCAGTGAGCATTCAGTTGGATATAGCATAAAAAAAAAAAAAAAACAAATAATTTATTGCTTAGAATTTTCGTAAAATAATAAAATGCATAATTTATATTATTTATTAATGTATTAAAATTTTTAAACTATTAAATAAGTATAAACAATATTAAAAAAAACAGGTTTTTATACATTAATTAGTCATAAAAATACTCAAGGCATACCTGCATAGTTTTTTAATTAAAACTCTAGCATTTCTCGTGATGTTTCTTGGGAATTCTATCGCATCAATACCTTTGAGAATTATGTTATAAGTTTTCATTGGATCAGCTCCAGTAAATGGTGGTGTGCCTGTAATAAATAAATATAAATAATACAGTTAGATGAGTGACACTTCTACTTCATAAGTAAAACAACTTAGATCTAATACATACCGGTAAGTAGTTCAAACATAAGTACTCCTAAGGACCAGTAATCAGCACTTATATCATGACCCCTGTTGAGAATAACTTCTGGTGCAACATATTCTGGTGTTCCACAGAAGGTCCAAGTTTTTCTTCCATTCTATAAACAGCAATAGTTATTTTAAAAATTGTTTATTAAAATATTATATACTAAAATATAAATAAATACTAACTTGTAGTTTTTTGGCAAAACCAAAATCAACCAATTTTACATAACCAGTGATGTCCAATAGAAGATTTTCAGGTTTCAGATCTCGATATATTATATTGCGAGAATGTAAATAGTCAAATGCTTCAACAACACAACCAGTGTAGAAACGGGTGGTAGAATCATCAAAATGTCCTTTGTCTCTGTAATTCATTATACAGTATATATAGTATAGTTATTAAAGGAAAATATTAATTCATTAAGCAAACAGGTTTTATGTAAATTAATCTTTAATTGTAAAGCAATAATAATTTACATATTTTCTTAAAATTTGGATCAATAGGTAAAATTAAGCTTTTCAATGTTGTTATGGAAAATGTCTTTTTTTTTTAAACAAATTAAATTAAATTAGAATAATAATATTTACCTCAATATAGTCCACAGTTCTCCGCCAAGACAAGACTCCATGAGCATATAAAGGTATTTTTGGTCTTTAAATGTCTTGTAAAGTTTAACAATGAAATCACAATTAGCTTCACCCATAATTTCTTTTTCGGACATAATGTGTTGTTGTTGTCTTGTCTCGACAATCTATTAACAAATACATTTAACATAAATTATAAGAATACAGTAAATTTATATTAATTGGTAAATATTTAGTAGCTCACTTGACTTTTTTTCATTTGTTTTAAAGCATACGATTTGGAAGTGTCGTTGTTGACTTGGACAAGTTCCACGCGACCGAAACCACCAACGCCTAATGTAGCCAAGACTTGAAGGTCGGAAAGTTTCAAATTTTGGAACTCCTTGTTTGTTGAGCTAATATAAACATTTATAATTAATTTATACAAAAAAATGGAAAGGTATTAAACTACTTTGACACAACAAAACTATCTACAATTTATTCACGAGGATGAAAACAAAAGAAATTTGATTCTATAAAGAAGAAATACATCCATGCAACATGCTTATTATAATATTCTAATGCGTTTTGCATTTTTACACTTGAGGTATTTGTACACCAAAAGTGAGGAAAGTACCAACTACACATAATCATCATACTTGAGCTTACCAAGAGCCTAGGACAAATGCATGTAAGTGAAAATGATGAACATTAGGTTATCGCATTAAAAATTATTACAAAATGCCCTTGATTATACAACCTAGCCGTTGATTTTAATCACTTGTGTACAATGCTCGAATTTGTGGAAACGGAAATTATAAGATTTTTTTAACGTAAATTAAATTACTTCATTTTTCAAAGAATCCAAAGGGAATGATTGTATGCAGTGTGCGTTAATATTATTATTCACAATTCTCAGACATTCTTGGTGACATAAATTTGTTGACAAGAAAATTATTGACAAAAAGATTCGACAATTTTCTTGTTATTGATTTTTTGATGCAATAATGAGACAGTAAAATATGATTAATTTTCTTTTAGTGGACATTTGTTGAGCCATAAAAGCTGTGCTCGACATGAGGGGGAACGCAAAGGGACGGAGTACCCCAAATAATTTTCAGAAATTTTAGCGTCCCCCTACTATTATTACGTTATAATTATAACGCTTAACAATTTTCGCGGACGCTCTTTTTTTTTAAGCAAACAGAGTCCCCATTCTTTAAAATTACCAAGTCAAACACAGTATATAAGGTATTTGAAATACAATACAATGATTTCATATTATTTTTTAGTAAAATTATAGTATGGAGTGATAACAATACTCGTTTGTTTTCAAAGCTGTAAATAAACTTTTGAAATATTATTTTTGTTTAGTACATTCTTGAAGTCCATTCTATGTAATTTTTCTACATGTTGTTAAACGCATATATTTGTTATACCCTCGGATATAAAAAAAATGTGTAATTTCACATAAGCTGGTAATTATTAAAGTGCCTATATCTATTTATATAGTGTTATGTCAGAAACATTGGGAGTCAAAGTTCATTTGAATTAATAGAGTGAAAAGTCTCTTCCACGAGGCCTGGAGGTAACATTAAAAACACAGTTTTTTAAATTGTAAATCAGGTTCATTTAGTGGGTTTTTTTCACAATTCGAGCACTGATCTTACAAAAATGTAAAATATTGATAATCGTAACAATATTAAAATAACATATGATCGTTAATCGCTGTAATGAATATCGGAAATACCACAACCATAATAACACAATAATGCAAATTGTATTACCTTATTCGTCCCGCAACGTCATCATCTTTGTATCTAGTGCGTATTTCGTCCAGTCCAGAAATTAGTTGATTGAATGTTTCTCGATCAATCACCAAACAAGACACGCCGTCAGGATCGCACGCGATTATGTTAGCAGTTCGTAAATCCTCTCTGTGGAAACATATACACACAAGTGATTAAGATTGTTAAATTGACTTAGTCGAAAGCGCGAGAAGATAAATATACTTCAAGTGCAGTGGCGTACCAATATAATACTCTTTATAGTTAAGCCAAATAATTTAAATATTAATTTAAAGTTACGTTTTTATTTATACCGTTATTTGTATTCGTAGTGGATTCACATTTTATCTTTTTGTTATTAGAATATATAACTTTCGTAACAATGTTGAAAAAAAAGGTGCTAACACCATAGGTCAGTGATATTCAGAAAAGGGTGAATGATAATGCTGGATTGGTTTTTTAACTTGAAACCAGTGCTCGTGAAAAAACGATTTTGAGTGAAAGAAGTCGGATAAATGAGTTAATCTATATCTTTAAAAATAGTTTAAACTGTAATAGGACCAAGTTGCTTAATAAGATAAGATACAATTTTAATGTTATAGCTTTTGTAGAAAAAAAGTAAAAATCTAAGTAAGTAAATAACATTAAAATGTTTTCTAATAACATGTTTAATAACATTAAAATTTGTTTAAAATGTTTAAACTATAATTAATTAAAACATAGAAAAAATCAAAAATTTCAAGTGCACATATAACAGCATACATTTTTTGTTTCGAAAATTATGAAATGTCTTTAAAATGCTAATATAGGTGTTTAGTAAATTTTTCAAGTCTTAACGATAAATATTTATAGAAAAACAACCAAATCACTAATATCGTAATCGAAATGAATTTAATTACCTATTTAATTTACATTTTATTTTCTAGCGCTTAACAATCTTTATTACAACTTTCTGGTAAAATTAATAAAAATAAAAATATAAAAACAGTAAAAAATTCTTTAATTTTATGTTATAAAACTGCAGTTAACACAATATTATGAAAAAATCTCAAATTCTTAATGAAAAAGTAGTAATTTCAATATATTAAAATCAAAAATTAAATCACAATCTAATGTACAAAATTCAGAACTAAAATATTTCAAATCCAAATACATCCATAAAGTATTGACAACAAATTACAATGGTGTGAACTATATTTGTCTGTATAGCCAATGATATTATTATTTTAATTCGATTTTATTATATTCTGTACATTAACAAATTATGCTATCATCAAATTTTGTTTTACTTTTTTATTCTAAATTACTCGAGAGGATTTGAGGGTCGAATGGACTTGAAAAATGGAAAACCCTAAAAGTTATTTCTAATTATGACATTATGGATAATGGTATGCATGCAATACCATATACATACCCTTGTAGGGCTTTCTCGCCAAAGAAGTCGCCTTTTTGCAGGGTCCGGATGTACTTTTCTTCGGTGCTGTTGGATTGTTTAATGGTAACTTTTACCTGCAGAGAAAAAAAGAAAACATATAGAGGTTAGTCACTACAAAAAATATATTTCTGCATGCTGTTTTCAACGTAGTGAAATGCTTACCTTTCCTTTGTTGATTATGAAGAACGTATCACCCCTGGCTCCTTGTCTTATTATGTAGTCTCCGGCACTATATGAGGTCTGAAAAACGCGTTTCAATATATGTTTAAATATTGTGTAGGGGTTTTTAAAGTTAAACACTCGTTTTCCCGGTTTCTTAATGGTTTTTTTTTTTTACAATTTTAGATTTTTTTTTTTTTATGGAACTATTTAGAAAGTAATATATTTTTAATAACATCAAGCTTTCAATTTCGTATTCTCACTGAGAATATTTATTTTTAATAATTATTTATTTATTTCACATTAATAGTTCTCAGAGGAATACTTAATTTTCTGAAAATGTTTCAGTTTAATAATTCAATATCGAACAGTACCTATATTTAATTATATTTATATAATGAAATCGTATTTAAAGTATTGGTTATAGTGGAGTGACAGAGGATAAATATATACTCATAGTGAAATGTTAGTAGGCAATAGATCATATTATTCGCACAGTGAAATTTAATAAAAAATTAATCCAGTTGAGAATAAGAAATTAAAAAAAAAAACCTCAATGATGTCAAAACCAGTAAAAAAATTTTTTTTTTAAATCACAAGAACTGACGGGGAAGAAATAAAAATTTAAGAACTTTTATAGACAACTGATATTTTAGTGTAAATGGTTTATGATGTAAATGCATATATTACCTCATACAAAACATCTGAAATCTTTATTAGCGTCTCTTCAGGTAGGTCTTTGAATATCGGAACACTGAGAACATAACAGCGTAATCAATATTGGAAATACGATTGTGTATTAAACGCATTTTTCCAGTGTATTATAATCGCACTTACCTTTTGAGGAAATCAGTGTATTCTGTTTGTCTTATGAGACCAGTCCTCATCATGATGGTCTGGAAACATTGTCGTTCGATCGCCCATAGTTTACAGTCCGTAGCGGCTTGAGTAAAAAATAAAAATATCAGTACAGTATAAAATTATATAGGATAAGTATTCTAAAGAAAGGTCTGTTAAAAATAATAATACTATCGCGGTAAGCGACTACAAATATTACGATAATACAATGGGGTTATATTATAGTAATATATGTAAGAGCTCTCATGCATATATATATATATATGTAAAAAAATTAAAAATAAATAAATATTGTTTGTAATTAGTTTTCATTTTACACGACACAAAGAAGAGAAATGCTTTTCTGTTATCAATTAGCAACCAATAAAATAACGCATATATGCAGAACATCGCTGCGACCAGTGGCCTGAACCGATTCAAAACAGCGCAAGTCCACATTATTGGGATCGTCAAGTCCGTACTGGACTATCGTCAGTTCGAACAAACCGAATGGCATGGTTAGAGGCGAAAACAAACATAAAAAAAGCAATTAACCAGGCGTTTAATAATGCCAATTGAAATGATTTAGCGATGTATCGTGTCGATGATACATTATTACACGATGACGTGAAATAATTGCTTTAGCGAAATAACATTTTTCATTCTATTGCAGTATTAACGTTGAAAGACAATATACTGTGAATGTGTCTTTCTAAAAATTGTTTACATAAACGTTATAAATTATTTTAAAGAAAAAAATTTATCGATAATAATAGGCAATAAAAAAAAAAAAAAACTGGAATTATGAATGGTATAATTAATAAAAGTGAACCCTAAGCACGATTGTAAAAATAATAATAAGTCATAAATTTATCCAAACTTAAGTTTCATTATGAGATTTGTTTCAATTTATTTTCACGCATTCAATATTTCGTTTGTATTATGGATCTATTTAATTTAACGATTTTTTAAAATGTACCTAACTAATATTGAAGAAAAAGTTCAAGTTAATGTTTACTTAATTAGATACCATATTTTTACACGATTAAACACTAACTAAATCAAAACCGTAAATTAATGTATCCATTTAAAAATGTAAACATTTGTTTAGAAATATCTAAATAATATAAATTTAATACTCGAGGATGAGAAAATTCTGGATTTAGTTCAAAAATTTAGAATCTGAAAATGAATTTAAATTGAATAATGACCACGAATGTAACACACACAAATTGTAATACTTCTAATACAGCTATTCTTTATATTACTGAAATTAAAAGCCTACCAAGCAATACGATTTTGGAATTGTTTTTCTGTCGACAAACTGTTTACACACACAATGTGTATATATATAAGTTATCGTTTTATTAGACTATACGGAGAGAAAGAATGGTTTTCAACGATATCGGTTTTGAGATTCAGTTCAATTAATATATTAAAATAGAATGTGTATTAATTCGGACGAAGAACAAAGTATTTTAAACGACCTTAATAGATTTAAATCAACCAAAATTGTAAACATTTTCATTATATTTTTGTTGATTAATCGATCGATTACAATTGGAAACATATCGGTTGTATTTTCTAGGCTTAAAGTCACATTTTTCTACAGATATAAAAAACGTTTTTAATATACCAACAAATGAAATACGTTTTATATACCAACACCATACCTTTAATAGTAGCAGTACGCTTGCAGTTATATAAAATAGCCAGTTCTCCAAAAACTTTTCCAGAGGTCATGGTACTTAGATACTTGTTTTCTCTGCTCACCTCCACTCGGCCCTCTGAAAATACAAAACAAAAAAATATTAATTCACTTTAAATTTGAGACACGAATATCTATACGATTTTTTTCTTTTGTAATTAGGGGTAAAACTTGGACGTGAGTTTTTCCAATAAAAATTGTTTTTATAATTTAAAAAATTGCATATTTCTTAGTTATAATTGTTATTAAAATCTTTTTCGTGAACGGATAGTACCGAGTAAACTTCTAAGGCGAATTATGATTTTAAGTACAAAGACATATTAATTAGTGTAATACTGTTATGTATGTATCTAAATACATATTTAGTATTGGCCGCGGTACCAGTGAACTGGACATAAATGACATCACGGCCTTCACATGTAATAGTGTAGTAGTGTATTAATAATAATAATAATAATTACGATAAACGGCAATAATGTAAAATGGAATAAAAAAAAAAAAAACTGTTTGTGTATTAGAAATATTGCACAGAAAGAACTACACCATCTGACCTTATTTTTATGCTCGGCCGACGTGACGACGAAGACTATAACAATACTAAAATATAATACATAATAATACGCACGTAATAGGTGCAATTTGTTTTTGTTTTGGATTGTGTAAAAGGGAATGCGATGTGGTTAGCTTCATTTTCATTCACGTGCTGATCGGTTTTGGTCTCGTTGTTCAGAGGTTAGGGAGGAACATGCGGTCTTTCTCGGTTTGAATAATTGCAATAAAGGCGGGACGAAGGAAACGATAGTTTTTTCAAGAACTTGTGAAATATCCTCTTCGAACGTTTCGCGTGACATAACAGGAAAATCGAGTTTCAGACGGAAGTGCACTACCAAAAGACTAGAGACAGATTTCTAAACAAATAGATTATGAGCATCGCGGAACGGCAAGGCTTGGTAAAACAGCAAGTTGTGTATAGTGTTGTTTCCCGTTATATAATTATAAAAAGGTTCATATTTCATGTTATGTACACAGAACTAAATTACTATTGATTGACGGTTTATTTAGAATTTAGAATTTTCTAACAATCATTTAATCCACGAATTTTGATTAAATTGATTTAAAAATCATCGGTTTCGTTAAATTTACCGATTAAGCGTAACTCTTTTTATATGCATATAACGATAAAATTCCAACACAACAGCATATTTTTGGTGCCTCTAAATCCGGAAAAAAGTTAATTTCGTTGGACCGCTGAGCAGAGACTTGGGATCGCGTCCCCTGACGAACAAAATGGCACTTACAATTAAATTATTGTTCAACCGACTAGGTTACGAATATATGGATGTACTCAGCGTGGTAACGAATCAAAAACAACTGCATGTAAACGAAAAACAGGATTTTGCAGAAAAAACCTAGAACGTGATTGAAACCTCGAACGAGGTTTACTTCAAGAATAGAACACCGGCACGATTACACAGTTCAGAAATATATCAATTGTTTCTCCGAGGTTCGATATGATTTGGGGATGGAAAGTTTCACGAGGCAATAATGTGGCATCTGCGCCTTTACAGATTGAAAACGGCAGAACATATACACTATATAACTGGATCCACTTAGATATTTTACAGGAGAGATAATTAGTTAATGCCTTCAATAAACGTGGCCAAAGCTGCCGCCGCTGTTTATTCATCGTCGTTTAACAATACCATAATTATAATATAGCAGATTAGGTACTATACAATTAACCTTTTGGGGCATGGACCTGCTCACGCTCCGTGGGTCGCTCGTACGCATTTTCTTTGGTCGTCCGTCTCGTGAAACTTCGACCAACCGAATCGTTGTGCAATAAAAAGGTTGAGGAAGACATACGTCGTATTACACACGCGGAAAGACCTAAAATTATGTGCGCGACATACAGAAAGTAAAGTGTACACTACGCGAAATTTGGAAGTATATAATAAAATCTCATTCGTTTCAGGAGTCACTAAAACTGCAGTTACTTACATAATTTCTGATACATTTAAGAAGTTTATTCAACTGCAGAGTACGCGTCGTCATATGTTACACACATTTACTTAAAATTTGGTGTATAGCACGAAAAATTGAATATTTAAGAATGCAATTGCCTCTGGATAAGGACCCAGGATATCTGCCACGAGACATAAAAGCGTAATCGCCACACGACGAAGTCGAATCGAATGAAAAAAAATTAATCCAACAAAAAAAAAAGATAAACGAACCGTATACCAATCAGTAATCCGTTCACTCTACAGCTCGTTTTTTGCTGATTTTTTTTGGTTTTTTTTTTTTTTACATATATTACACAATAATTTTTATAAAGCGTGTGCGAAAAAAAAAATTTATTTCTTCGCCCACGTCGTCGACGTTGTTTTTCGTTTGCTCGGGTTTTCCGAACAATTGGTTCTCACCTGACGATTGTCCTTCGACCGAGTTTGAAACACAGCGTTATACATTACACGCGATACCACCAAGTGTACCTACACGGTGCACAACGATAATCATAATATTGTTACGGAAAAATAATCGTGAAGTCGTGTAACGAGGGCTACAAGAACACTGCGCAGGTATATGATGATGATATTATCATATCCACGTGTACGTGTGTGCGAGGAAAAAAAACCGTGTCGAAATCCGACGTGTACGCACGCAATAACACACAATAACATAATATCCGCGAGAATACATTAAATTTTACATTGCACATATATGAACCGTATTTAATATACATAAACAAGTATGGACATTAATGGCGTGCGGTGCAAATCCCACGTGAGATTTGTGCTCATTAGCACGCCGTCCCGTTGCTGCGATCGTACGAGCGCCATTATTATTATTATCATCATCATCACCATCACCGTTTTCATCATTATTATTGTTTCGTTCGTTATTCTGTTTTTTTTTTTTTATATCATACTTTTCAATTACGAAACGACCGAGTTACCGACCGACCGCGATCGGTTGTATAACAAATTTTACGTACGAATAAAAACAATTAATATAAGGCGGTGAAGAAAGGTCACGACGAATGAAAGGTGCTTTCTTATGTTGCATATACTTATATATATATATATATTATTTATACCACGTACAACTTGCACTTAAAGTGTAATTTTTTTCTTTTTCCTCTTAGTACAATCGATCGCGTACAAAACGCATATATATGTAGACAGCTAAACGTCCACGACGCGTGCAGTCGATATTTTATGTACAATACTTATATAATATATGAACCTAATGTACTTGATACATTTAACATGAATTTGTAATGGATGTTCTTTATTTTTATCGAGAGACTTATTGAAAAAGCATTACACGGAACAATTATATTACTGAATGATCTCGTTTTTTATCCTTATCATTGTATAATATATAAAGTATTTTAACGTATATTTTGTACTGATTAATATCGACATAACACGTATAATATTTACTACAAAGTGATGACGTATAAATTAAATATTGTGATGCAAAATAAAGCGATTAGAAAGAGAGAGAGAATTAAGAAAAAATCACAATTCACAATCGGTGAAATTACAATGTATGTATATATATATTACAATCGACATGAATTGATAGTTGGTCAGCGATAAAGAATCGAAAACCGTTTATATACATTTATATATACGTTTATATGCACACACATATATTACATTATAATAGAATATATATACTTAAGAGTCGTAGATGAAGTTAGGGACGGGTTTAAGGGGTGGCTAAGGGGAAATTAGCCCCCCTCCCTTTAGATTAAGTTAACTATTTTACAAAGCCAAGTATAATAATATATTGATATACCTATTAATAATTATTACAAAATATCGTCAATCGTCATTGATGAATATGATACCTAATTTATATATTTTTTTTATAAAGAAATTGCTAATTTTTGTTGTTAAATATATGCGTGTAAGTATAATTTTAAAACGGTTTCAGATTTATATTGATACCAATAATGTAACTATATGAAATTTGTGACTATTGTGAAAAAAATGACTCACTTATGAGGGATTCAAAAACATATTCTGTAATTAAAATTTTATATAGATTTATTAAAATACAATTAATTAAATTCTTGAACCTCCATTAGCCCCTCCATTGGTGAGTGATAAAACCCGTCCCTTGATGAAGTACATGCATACGTAAAAGGAAAAAACAACGAGCGGACGAATTATGTGACTATAAATAACACGAGCGCGATTTCTACAAGTTTACAATAATATAAACGACGTCGATGACATTTATCTTTCGCGGTATCTTTTAATATATAGTGTGCACCGTCAAATGCTATTATTTTTGGTAGTACGCGGAATGAAAAAAAAAAAACCGGGAAAATATTGGCAACATCGATATAACACAACAAATTAACGTTATAATATTATCTAACGTGAAGAATGTCGCGACGAAACGAGTCTACCACCAACAGCAATAGCAGCGGTCACAAAAAGTCACGTCATCGAATATGTGTAAAAATATGATATATCATCACGAACGGTCATATAAGTGTTGAGAATCAGTGCAATACTATCGTCACGCGAACCGGTCGAACGGGAAAGTGAACAAAAAAATATATTAACGATAAACCGATGAACAGCATAGGAGCGTTCGATGACTTAGTCATCGTCGTAGTAATCGTCAACCGTGATCGTGGTTAACGAAATGATGACATGTCACATGTGCACATCGAATTGAAAACAGCTATAGTTATAGGGATATTTTTTTTTTTAGAACAATGGTCGATGAAAAAAAAAACAAATTTCAAAATCATGTAATACATTTTATATCACGCCGACGAAATGCGCAAATTTGAGTAATTATCGACTTTTCGGTTTATCTCAATCTTTCATTTAAACAAACAATTTTTCCAAATGTACATAATTCATCATTTACGATTACATGCTTTAGACATATACATTTCAGGAATGTAGATTTAATGCAAATGCATTTTTATCAATACGGTGTAAAAACAGCTTTTGTAGTACAAAATTTACACAGTCGTATAACAAAGAGTTATGACTTTAACTTGAACGTTTTTTTGACACTTTCTATTAAATGAGTTATATTTTC